ACTGCTGTGAGGATTCCAGTTGGGTGGTGGATAGCAAGTGATCCAACACCACCTAAGCCTTTTGTTGGGGGTTCTTTACAAGCTTTGGACAATGCTTTTACATGGGCACTGTAATATCTGCAAAACCCATACATGCATATATACTTTTTATCTTCAAGCTAGACTTCTAGCTATATATATATTGATTAACATTCTCTCTCTCCCACTGTCTATCTATCAGTGTGTTTTAGTTTGCATGCAGGAAATACAATATGAAGGTGATAGTGGATTTGCATGCAGTTCCAGGTTCAAAGAACGATAATGATCACAGCGGAACAAGAGATGGATTTCAGGAGTGGGGAGATTCTAACATGCATACAGGAGACTGTTGCAGTCATAGACTTCCTAGCTAGTTAACTGGCTTCCTCCTGTATCTATATAATTAAGTCACTGGAAAGCAGCTAACTTGTTATATGTTTTCTATTTCTACTAGTTTAATAATGGCACCGACAAAGATCTTAACTTTCAGCTTTAATTTGTCACTCATGCATTCTCGCTCCTGCATAGTTAATTTATTGGGGTGCAGGTTTAATTTGTCCCTTATACGTATACCCCTAGACTAGAGGTGTCAATGGACTGGTTTTAGGTTGGAACCATCCAAATCAAACCCAATTTAGATGGATTGGACATATCAATAACACATATTGAATTGGACCGCTGGTCCATCTATAATAAATTTATATTGGATTAGATCGTATTGAATCAATATCTAGTCCGGTAAGATATAGGTGTTATAATGGACTAAATTTGGGTTGGAATCAATCTAAATTTAAACCAATTTGAACAGATTGGACGGTCCTTATATTGAATTAGACTGGATATTTATCAGATTGGATTAGACTTGGTCCATTTGTAATGGACTCATATTGGATCAGATTGGATTAAACCAAATCCAATACAGTTGACGCCCCCTACCCCTAGTTAAGAGTAAGGAGTTAGGGTAAGGGCCTAAGTAGGGATGTTAACGGGTCAGGTTCGGAACAATTTTGTCTCAACCCGAACCCGCCCTGCACTATAGAGCCTAACCTGAACCCGATCTAACAATTTAGCATTTCAAATATTTTTTTAACATGTTTTGAAGACCTAAAATCCATTAATGTAAGTTAGGAAATTGTTTTATAGATCCTAAGATATCACCTTTCCCATTTAAGAAAAGAAGAAACTCAAAGCCCTATCAATCTGGGTTAGAAGTAAAAAAATTACAAGAATACTTTGTATGTATGCAGGTGTCATGACCCTGTGGAGTTTGTCAGTATGTCAAAACATAAACCCAACTCAGGTTGAAGAATCAAAACCCTATCAATCTGGGTTTACCATTCAACCCGACCCATTGACATCCCTAGGCCTAAGGGGAATAATTTGAATCGGGTTGACATGATCGAACCCGTAATAAAGCCGACCTATTGCCATCTTTTCCCCCGACCCGGCTGCTCTGATTTCCTGCCCTTGTTTGGTATGTGTCAAGGTACACTTCCAATGAGATTGGAACACGTTGTAGTTTGCATGCATGCACTAGCTCACTTGTGTGACAAAACTAAATGGCATGCTTGCCCTATTACATTTTCATTAATTTCGAAATTTAAAAGCGTAAAAAGAAAAATGTTCTATTTCTTCTTCCCTCTCCTTTATTCCTCCCCTCCCTTTTGTAGTCTTAGAACCAATGAACCAGAACTCTCTCTCTCCCTTTCTCGTTCTTGTTCTCTCTTATTTCCCCTTGTTTATTAACACTGCAATTAGTCGGAAATAAGCAATGACCTCCCAACTGAAGAGAGCACTAGTCCCGTGACTTCCCATCTTTCTCTCGTTCTCCTTGCAAGAAGACTGAATCAGTCTGCCATGCTCTATTTTTTTTCTTCATTGTCTCCCAAATCTGTAAGATGCCACGACTTGTACCCCTATTCAAGCTTGACTGAAGCAAAGTTGAAATATACTAGCATTCAACTCTTTCATTACCGAAGTCATTGAAGCGCATTGAAGCCATCCCAGTTATCAAGTTTTCTTCTCAATGTTAGATGATCTCATAGGTTCTGAATTAGGTGTGCCATGTTCAATAGTCGGCTTCATAAAAAGCTCAAACCCTTAAATTAACTAAGCTCATGGTTGACGATTTCAGCTGTGGTGAAGAAGTCAGAGGACCTTGATTCCCCCAAATCTTGTGGTGAAAAGCCAAGAGGACCCATACCAGGATTTTATTTGATATTTGATTCATTAGAGAAGAATACGTTGAAAAGAAGGATTTAGAAATGTTTCCTATCTCTAAACTGGTGACAAATCCATAATGTCATCATAGATTCCTTCTTTGAGATTTCAGAGTTCATTTTATAAATCCCCAATGTGTAGAGACTCTGAAATCCGAATATTATCCACTTTTATTTTATAATCTTGAGTTTGAAATATTAACAAATGAAATAATAGTGTGTATTTGGCTTGCTTCTATTCGATGCGCTCAACAGATCATCCATCTCCCACGAAAACCAATGGTTAGTGATCAGCCCAGTGGGCTTCATTGGCAATACTTGTATGACTACCGATATTGCAAGCAAAGACCTCCCCACCTCAATAGTAGCTTTCCTTTCAACATCACCAGCACAACAACATTATGTACCTCAATTGCTCTGACATTTTGTTGTGATCACCATTGGATTGTTTGTCCACAAGCCTATGCAACACTTACATTAAAAATACCATTGAGGCAACGTTGTGTGAAAATTCTTCCAATCTGCTCAAGACTGGTGGGTTCACCACCTCTTATATGATCAGGGTTTGGGAATTGGGATGCAGAGCTTACACTTTCTTTTTTTTTTAGTTTTTAAATTTTAAAAATTTATGAAAATATAATGGGGCAAACATGTCATTTGTTTTTATGGGAAAATTCTTGATTAGTACCTTGTACTTTTAAAACGTGACAATCCAATACCTGTCGTTAACCAGCTGCTAACTAGCCATTGAGTGGCATTTGAAAAAGACACAAATGTCCTTCAAGTGTTACTTAATTTTCTTTATTAACCATCTAAATGTTGACAAAAGATTAATAGTTCCAAATCCTTGCCTTTTCCATTCAAGAAAGTTGGGGTCATGTTTGAGTGGACATTTTGGTAACCCCAACTTTCTTGAATAGAAGAGGCAAGGATTTGATACTGTTAATTTTTGGATGGTTGATAAAGAAAATTAGAAGACCCTCGAAGGGCATTTGTGTCTTTTTCAAATGCCACTTAACGGTTGGTTAACAGTTACAAGTACTTGATTGTCATATTTTGAAAGTTCGAGATCAAAGTGGCACTAGGCCCAAAAATTTTCCCTATTTTATCGCACTAGAGAAGCATTGGAAGTGTACCTAGGCACATACCAAACGAGTATAGAAAATCCAATCTCTCGTTAGTGTCGCCCTTGCTTGAACTTAATAAACTACACTCTACACTTAGTCCCCGTTTGCTTTTTGATAAGTTACGTGAGTAAATATAGTTACTTGGGTAAGTTTTTCCTAGGAAACACATACCTAGGTAAGTGCATTTACATCCATGTATTTTTATTTCTCAGGTAGATAAGGCAATACCCATTTCAGCCATAAAAATCCATTATTAAAAAGGGCATTTTTGTCCCATTCAAGTGTTGGTAGGAATTGCAATGGGTAGGGTACCGGTGCAAATTGTCCTACCCATTCTTAAGCCCATTTATGTACCCCTGATTCCAAACTCGTCTAGCTTTTCCTCTCATTTCTCAAACCCGTCCCATCCCAAAACCGTTAAACCCATCATGTCCTGTCCCACTCGTTAAACCCCTTGACAAAATGTTTTCTACTAAAAATAGTTTCTTAATGCTTATGGTGTGACTTGAACCCGAGTCAATTAATGATAGCACCAAATCTCTTAACACTACTTTAATACACTAAGCCATTTCACTTTTGTATTATTTAATGGAATAAAATAGATTTTATTAACTTTTGTGTTCATCAAAACAATCAATACATATATATGGTTAACAATTACAACTAAAAATTAAAAGAAATAATATTTAAAATTAGAATTTTATAACTAAATGAAATAAACAATCTATCAAATCCATATTTACATCAAATGATGATTTTAATCCTAAGAAATTTATACAAATAAAATATTAATAATAGAATAATTATCTTAGTACTTAAAATTTATAAATTTGTGCATGATATAATATAATGGGTTAATGTTTATGCATCCTAGGTGTCAGGTATCGGATACCCTGAAGTCAAAACCCAAACTCGTCCCAAACCCTATAGGGTTTTAATCTAAAATCCCAAACCCGTTCCAAAACCTATAGGGTTTTGATAAATGGGTCCTATTAGGGTCGGGATGGGTTGGATACCCGAAAATTCCTGTGAAATTGCCATCCCTAAGTCTTGGCAAGTTTCCCCTACGTGGGAAAGTTATTTACCCACCTAGGAGATGAACCTAGAAAAATAAACTTTCCCTCGTCCCCACTAGGGGTGGATTCAAGCCGAGCTGAGCCGAATAGTACTAGGATCAACTCGGCTCGAGATTGTTCTACAAGGCTCGAGCCAGAACCTTGAGCTCGAGCTTGGCTCGAGTAAAAAATTCATAAGCTCGAGCTCGATTTTGAGAAAAAATATTTTATAAAAATAAATAGTTATATATAAAAGTATTTTTTATTTGATATTTAAAAAATTAAGAATTATAATAATTAATAATTATAATATTTTTATTATATATATTATTCTCTATAAATTTATTTTATATATATATATATATATATATATTCAGGCCGGCTTGCAAGCCTTATGAGCCGAGCTCTAGTATGCTCGAGCATGACTCGTTTAATAATCAAGCCAATGAATTAGGCTCGAGCTCGAACTCAAACTCGATTGAAACCGAGTCAAACTGAGCTTCTCACGAGCTGAATTTAAACAGCTCGTCAAAGCTAGGCTCGTTACCACCCCTATTCCCCACATAAATCTAAAAAAAAAAACATAAAATTCTTGATCAATGGGAACAAAATCCCACTGACCAACTTTCCCCCTTCCAAGAATCCGAAAAAATAACGCCCCCTTACTAATAACTAGTCACCCCACTGTTTTCTACGCTTCCAACGTTTTTGCCAATCTTCCCTCTCGTTTCAAAAAATGGAGGCTACAGCTTTATCGAATTCGCTATTATCTCCTCTTCCTTCTCATTACTCGCGCCCTCACAAGACCTTCGACCATGTTTTCTTACCTTCGTCGCCGGCTTCGTTTCAAGGAATAACCTTGTCGCATCGAATCCCCATTTCCAAAAATGGATATTGTTTCCTCTTTTCTGTGTTGAAGAGTCGAAGTAATCTTGTCATTCAATGTTCTGGAAATCATGTAGATAGCACAGAAAAGGAAGCTCCGATTGAAAAGAGTACGTCTTGTTTCAGAAATCTATTTTTCTTATTTTCTTTTTGAAGTCGAGCTTTTGTATTTCTGAATTTTCTTGAGCATGGTGGCAGTGTACCCGGCATTTCCAACTGTCATGTATATTAATCAAATTCGCGAGATTTTGCCCCACAGGTGAGTAATTTTTTTTCTTTTCCATTTACATTGCCTTCGAATCACACTTCCAGTGTCTTGTTTGGTCTGTAAGTATGGAGCATTATTTGTGTCCCTCTTTTTTTTTTCTTATTTTTTTTTTCCGTTCTCAAGTTTAGTTTTACTGTTTTGGGCTGTGCTTTAGGTTTCCGTTCCTCCTGGTTGATAGAGTGATTGAATACAACCCTGGAGTTTCAGCTGTTGCTATTAAGAATGTAACTATAAATGATAACTTCTTTCCTGGACATTTTCCTGAAAGGCCGATTATGCCTGGCGTTCTTATGGTCGAGGTATTGCTACTAATTACTGTAACCTATTTTGATGGATTAGAGGCTTCATTTCTTTCTCTTTTTTTTTCTTTATTTTTCTGTTTAAAGGAAAAAAAAACATGGCTGATGAATGGTATTATGCATTTTGTAGAATGTAGGTGTTGCTAAATTCTCGGTTCTGTTGGTCTATGCCTGATTCTGTTTACCAATATCTAGCCGGGACTAGCATCTCAAATTAGATAATGAGTTCTAGGTTTTTAATATATGGGTATACGAAATTTATAGTGTATGGAGTAGGAAAGTCATTTTATAGCAATCCTTGTTTATAGCTGTCCAGGGAGAGAGATCTATAGCTTCTCGTTTACCTACATCTTACTTGTTTTGAAGATTACTCTTGACCATGACGTGGCATCTGAAGGGATGAGATATCCATGGACGCCCAAATCTTGTGGAATAGAATGAGCGAATTTCAAAAATTTCTCTCCATCCTACTGGGAATTGTATTCCCTATTTTAGAAAAATCATATTTTTCAAGGATCAATCTTGAACCAAGAACCGAACCAGATCCGAACCAGATCCGAACAAAAGCAGTAGGAGAGGAATATACCTGATACGGAGAAATAGTATCTCCCAATGGAGGTGTTCACGCCCAAGGAAGGAACCAAAGATTGCTCTCACCGAAGATGACGTAGTGAAGGATGGAGTAGAATCAACAGCGTTCTTCAAAAGAACCAGATCTTTTGCAAGAATCAGCTGGACGACACGTGAGCATTACTTCCAATCAGCCTTTTCACAAAGGACTGATATCAAGATCCAATCTTGATCACTCCCACTGAGAATAGGAGATCGAACTGGCAGATATGGTGGCGGCAGGAAGGAGGCGGCAAGAAAGAATTTAGCGTAGTGATGCTGAATTCTCTCTTATGTGATTTCAACTCTGAAGAGGATGTGAATATGAATATCTTCTTAAGGCTGCCGCCCCCTCCTCCTTTTATATACTTAAAGGGATCAACTCCTAATCCCATTAGGAGTTGCTGATCCAAATCATATTTGGATCAGAATTCCCTTTAAGTGATAAGAGTAAACCCTTATCTTATCTGCATATTAGATCAGCTCCCTCCTAATCCTATTAGTAAGTTTCTAGATCTGAATCACATTCAGATTTGGACTCTCTGAGTGGATAGGGTTAAGACCCAATCCTATCTACTAATCTAATCTCAGAATTCGCCCCTTATTTAACTAATCAAATCAGCCTAGTTCGAAATGGGCTTTAGGCCCAATAAGGTTATGTGCTCACTTAGCCTTCCAAACTGTTGCCCCGTTGGCCTTCCTTGTATGGCGTGGGACCCAAACATTGATTTACACATCAGCCACATGGGTTCAGCCCATCATTTGTTACAAGGCCTGGCCGAATACACTGTTATGGACAGTGCACCTTCTGAAACCCATCACATGGGCTCTATGGGTCCAACACTTACCCTAAGTGGTCCCTGGGCCAAGCCACCTTGTAACACCCAGGGACTGTGGGTAGATGCGAGATTAGCCCATCAGGTATTACCCTCAATGGCCTTACACTTAACTTCTCAGCCCATAATGATCAAACACTGTCCGACAAGAGAGAACCTCTCCCTCGGCTGCAAGGAACAGTGCTGCACTCTCTACTCACATGGATCCCGGGAATTAAAACCTTTTGCAAACGTTTAGAAACCGTAATATATATACTTTTATATCTCATATAAAATATATTTTG